ACACGGAATTGAACCGGAGAATGTAAATTTTGAAAAATCATTATAACTACCATTGCACGGTGTTATCAGTAATCGAAAAGGAGTTCAGTTCTCTCATTGAAAATCGGATTGTGTGACTGAAACCAATTTTGGATATCGAATTTCACTCGTTTGAACGTATGCATTCTGCGCACCCGATGGCCTGATGTGCTTCGTTTATATTCATTTATATTCTACCTCTTTCTCCTTCGTTTTCTCATCTCCTGTCGTCGCCTCACTGCCTTTTCCTCATTGTGCCACCCAGGTTGTACTTCGCCCATCGATCTTATACCAATTTCGTGTCCGAACGAGAAATTGGGTTGGAATCTCTTTGCCGAGCTCACCGACAGAAAACACATGCGGTATCCCACCGCGTGTGCCAGCTATCAATCCGAAAGAGCTCTATGTTTACGGATCATTGCGAAATAATCTGATCATTCGATGGACGGTGAGTTAGTCCGTTTTGGGCCGAGTCGGTCACATGGAATTCTATGGCTTGTCGGTTCCTCTCTCTCCTTCTCTGACGTGCGAACGAAATTCGCTTTTTTTCACTGCAAACATTTACAATACTGGCTGATTGTGATGCACTGAACTATTTTCTTTCTGACTAAATTCAGTTTCATTAAATTTAGCACTTATATTAGGCCTAAGTTATGGTCTAGGTCAACCACTACTGACGAAATGGGAGTATCCGTTAAATTCTGAACCATTCCATCTATTGAGTATAAAGGAATGACAAAAATCACTATCATAAAGGCTCATCATAGCTGGCTTATTATTTGGAAAAAAGGTTTACTTCAGTATAAATGCTGTTTCACAGCAACCAGTTGCTTCAGTTTTGATTCGACTCGTGTACGCGAGAATAGTTGTTTTTTTTGGAATAATTAATAGGATGTAAACTGCTTTTAATTTAATTTACAGTCAATGAATATTTAGCAACTTTTTTCCTTGCGAATATATTAGACACCAGGTTTATGTATTCTTATTTGTCTGTTAAAAATCCATGTGACCTCCCCCTCGGAATTTTTTATGCATTTTGATTGTCAAATAATTTGTGTGCGGGTAAACAATTAGCATTGAAGCAGATGTTTTGTCATCATCACAGGAGAACACCACCATCACCACCACCACCAACAACAACAACAAAACTCAGATTCCAGTGCATGTGAATTCGGTTGTAATATAAAATAATAAGATATTTAAACCCGGTAGCCTTGTACCCGAAGTGTTAGCAGTCAGTCGTGCAGCTTAGATTGTATTGAAACTTCGAGTTCTGGCAGTGCTGTCCATCAAAGACTAAGAACTTTTCCAGTGCTCTTTGTTTATTGTAAGGTTTGGTATAAGATCAGGTTATGGAGTATATCACTAAGCTACAGTGAAATATTCAAACACCATGGAAAATGTGAAATTTGGTTTCTAGAATGAGTCCTGTATTAAAGAACACATTCAACAAGCAACCGATTGATGCATTGTGAAGAAGAGGAGGGGTGGTGAGGATAGAATGGTTGTCTGAGCAAATAATGAATAAATCTATACTAATTCTACCGCACAGTTTACTCTTCGAAACATCAAAAATAATCAGTATGATGGAAAAACTCGATTGTTGAGTTAAATGTGTTTGATAGTTACGCATCAGGAGATAGAGGCAGAAAGGAAACCTGAACAAATGCGTATTCCCCAACTCGGTAAAAAAAACAATGATAATTAAACGGGCTGTCAATTTGAACTACATTGATGATTGTGTCACACTTTTATCTGCGCTAAAAGAAATAAAAGAAATTTTCTGAGGAAAAATGTCATATTTTAATCTCCTATAAAAGGTGAGCATTTGTTGAAAGGGACCATTTGCTTTCCATACGGTGACCGGACGCCTAAGGCAAAATACTTTGATTGAAAAATCTTTTTTACGAATAAATAACGATTTTCCCGATAAATGAACGCATAGTGTATCTGATTATTGGTTACAGCTATGCGTTTTCAATTTGAGATTTCCAATAGTTACTTAAGATATCCCGGTTTTCAGTGAAAAAATGTCCACTTACCATGTGTATATTATCTTAGGATGTAAAGTAACGAACTTTTGAAGAAACAGGTTTGTCCAACGGTCGGACAACAAGTGGGACTTGAATTTAACCCTACTTCGCCCTCTATCTCTCACACGTACCGATTCATGGGGTAAAATCTAATTAGCGTTGATATGAGAATACCCAACTTCGCTCGGTAATCAAACGCCTGACATTCAGTTGGATAGATCCCCTGTTTCGAAGTACGGTTATTGTAACATACCGCAGACATTCTTATTAGTTTTCTTGGTTTTTCATAGCACTTTTAAACTACCACAATCTGTTTAATTAGGAAATATGGTATTCATAAAAATATCCAACTCTCACCACATCTGTCCTTGCGACGAACCACAGATAGCCGATCAGAACTTGAAAGTTTGTTTTTCTGGAAGTGAAACAGCTTTCTGGTTCAGGCAATAGCTCACAGTTAGTATGGAAGCGGTTACACCCTAAGTGAACCTGTCACGACCTATGAAAGAATTAAAAACCAACTCTGGAACACATCAAATCTTTCCTGGTCTGTATTGAATAATCACTGAATGCGATTCATGTTTGCCTTTGAATGCTTTTTATGGTCGTAATCTAACTTTTGGTAAAGTTTGTCTCAATAAGAGAAGATTTGAGTAGATACAGTAGAATGAGTTATATAGACGAAAGACTATTCATTCCTGGTCCCGTTCTATCAATTTTGCACAGAGATCATTCATTAAAAATCCGGAGAAGAATCAAATTCAGAACACTGAATGAGAGACCCACATAAAAGCTAAATACGCAGGCCCTGGTTCTCTGAATATACTCAAATCATACAGTAAAAATAGTCAAACTATTTACGTTTCGTCATATTACTACGTTATCCGAGTAGTTATCGGTTTATATGAACTCGGCAGGGAATCAATTAACCGGCTTATCTTCCATGCTCTTCGTTCTGTCTGCTTCATGGGATAATTATTACTGAATCAAAGTGTGTTCCAGAGATAATTGTCCGCGTTCAAAAAATGTCATTCATAGACGGGGTCGTGTGTGTGTGTGTGGTTTCCCTCTGATCTGTATCTTATCCCATCTCTACGTTACAGACTCTGCCTTATATCGAGCACTATGGCAACAATCTGGGCTACAAATTGACCGTGGCCTGTTTAAATTGTGACATTATTCCCCGAACGGCTGTGAACACAACGGTTGTCGGGGATTGGCGCACGGACACATTGACGTATACCTCGTTTCGAGTCGGTGCAATGGTATACGAGATGGAAACATACAAAGAATTCATGGTAAGCTATTTATGAAAATGATAATCACTGTTTTTTTCAAAGTTACTGTCATTCCTCAGGTTTACCGTTTGCTGATATAAATGGTTTCATTTCGGGCGGGTTAGCGGTCAACTAGATCCACCAGTTCAGCTACGAACTTCCAACAATAGACCAAAACACTTAATTAAATTGTGCGAACAATGTTTGTTCCTCGATGAAAGTAATTTGTTTGTTTTTATAATTCATTTATTGATGCAAACGATGCAATAAGCCGATTTGCTTTTTGGTTCTATTAGACAGACGAGAATGACCAAAATGAGAATCTTCGGTTGAAAACTTTCGATAACCTTCAGATCTGGATTAACGCGTAAGAAAGAAACGTTCACATTACTTGAAAGTATATTTAAAAGAAAATTAGAACGTCAGCTACGTATACGAAAACTAAACTCAGTGCGAGAGAGAAACATCATACATACGTAGGACAACGTGAATCATCTTTCTTCAGCTCGAATGAAACACAGACCAAAGTGGAAGAATTTCGTACTGAAACAAGAAAATGAGTGTTTCAGTTAGCGGTTCAAGTCTTAGAATTTGTCAATAGGGTCGAGTTCAGTTAATT